GTCAGGCTTTGCAGTAAGAATCATATGAGTCTGTTTTATATTCTGTTGAGAAAGTAAAGACCCTGCACTATCCATCCAAATAATTGCGATGTGCCTGTTGTTCACCTTCGAGGAGAGACTCTATAACTGAAAATGATCAGAAACAATGTGATTTTCTTAATGTACAGTGAGAATCTAAGTAGGTATTTGTCCTTTTTTGCAGTAATGGCTGAATTTGTTCTTGAGAGAAGGCCTGCTTTAAGGTCATAGATGACGTACATGGTTCAATTTTCTGGTGGAAAAAAAGGAAAAAAGGAGAGGAGGGGATTATTTTAGACAAGAGGCTAAGACGAGACATGGAGAAAGGAGAAGAAAGGCAAGATGGGAGTCAAGGGAGAGATTAGAGGAAGAGGAAAAGAGAAAGGAAAGCAGACAGCAAAAGTGAGGGGATGAGGATATGGAGGAAGAGACAGGGAGCACCCAAGGGAGGTATCAATGAGGCTATCGATCTGTCCATCCAGCGCACGTTTGCCGTCCTGTCACCGTCTCTTCCCCCATCTATTCGAATCATAAACATGGGATGGATTCCTAGCTGTAGCTGCTCTGCATTTACATGAGTGTGATCAGGATGGACGCACACATCAAAGAAGAGGCGAAGAAGGGGGGGTGTCTAACCAGTCTACTGTCTAACTGAGGGAGTAGTCTGTATCAACAGTACACTAGTACAAATGTGTGTCACAATATGGATTTGGCTACATCTTTTGAACTGGGAGAGAATGGGGTTTTCAGTACTTAAGAATGAACACTTATCAGTCAAAGAGTTATGACTGCATATTTGCATACCCAGCAGGACATGAAGATAATATTCTAAAACTGGCATCATTTGCTTTAAAATGAGGGTAAATTTATGAATGTGTTCCATATTTTATGAGAGATTTTATGAGAGAAGATACGACTTGCAGACTTGCATATTTCCTTCTTTTGTAAGTGATCAGCCTTGTTGAAAACTTCATTGTTATGCATTCTGTCTGTTCCTTGCTCTCAATGCTCTGATGAGTTTACGTGGTAAAATCAAAAGTTTAAATTCTCACTGTCCCATGTGATATATTTACTTGTAGGAACAAATTGTATGGTGGTTGGAATTATAGTTGCTTTTATGACCGATTTAGATGACTGTAGCTGCGGCAAAGGTCAAGTCGGTTGAAAAAAATGATTATACCGTTACAATGGTTATTTTATCCATGAGCAGTTTCTCAATTGATATTTTGAAAACATTGAATAACATATACAAATAAATTACATATACAGTGATTCTATCCACATCACTCCCCACATTGGAGGTGGAGAAAGGGATACCAGAGGAGGGTCTGGGGGTCCTCTCCCATGAGTCACATTGAGTGTCAGACACTAGAATTCTTATTCACTAATTTGTTGTTTTTGTGCATCAGTTTCTTCTTAAGTCCTCTGATACTCTCAATGTGAACGTAAAGTAAACAAAGAGTCAATGAAAGTAAAGCACAGTTGCATCAATTATATTAAGGATTAAATGATCACATCAAAGACATGGACAGGATGTGGCCTCAGGTTGGACAGTCCACCACGGGGGGCAGAAAATGCTCTACTGTATGGCAAACTGTACACTTGGCCATCTACTCATTCCCAGTGAAAGGACTGATGTACTCCAGGTCTGCTGTAATTCTGATGTAATACTTCACCGCTATATCTCGTGAAATTCTTAGGGGAGACACAGTTTTTTTATGATTTGGTCACCAGTTTTATTTCACAAATTACACATTTCAAAAAACATTTAAAACATTCTCCTTTAGTTTAATGTGAAGCGTGTCCCAATATCAAACACTAGTAAGCTACTTAAATGCTAATACAAACAAAGTAGCTGCCCTGTAAGCCAGTGGCTTTGTAATGCTGCATGCACGCATGGCTGTAGGAGTGCTTTGAGCTGAGTGCTAACATCAGCATGCTATAGGAGGCGTTTGCCACTATCAAAACCTTACTTTAGCATGTTTGCATGCTAACATTTATTGCAAATTGGTGATAGGCTGATGGGAATTGAGTTTTGCAGGTATTTAGCCAGCATAGTAAGAGATTTACCATTTTTAACATTTTGGTCTGTTAGCTGAGGCCGATGGGAATGTTGGAATGTTAATACTTGCAAAACTAACTAACACTAATGGGAATGTTAGCTTTGCGTTAGCTTTTACATTATAAACAAAACTGTGAAAGATTTGACCTGATGATGTCGATAAATGAAAAATTAAGGGATCGCCAATGTTATTTTAGTTAATTCTCCAGGAGGAGTCACAAGAATGTTTGTATCATATTTTATGGAAAACCATCCAAGTTGTTGAGACATTTCTCTCAAAACCACAAAAGAACCTAATAATAGGATAATAGTGGTGCTGCAGGAAAAGCAAAGAGATCACCAAGGTCAGATTCATCCTCTTCTGGGAACCATGAATGTCTGCAAAAATCTTCATGGCAATCTATTCAGTAGTTGTTGGGATATTTCAGTCTGGTGTGGTGGACCAACAAAGCTAAATGTCAGTGAATACACACACCAGTGTCTCCAAATACATTTAAAGCATGTTTTATAAAATTCATCAAAAGAAAGTTTATGTAGCTATGAAGTATAAGCCCAACTCTATACTGTCAAGCTGAGCCTCAAGTAGGCACAACATTACCATATAAAAGACAACCTCTAATCACACACACACACAGAAAGGGTTGCTGTCTTATCCGCTCATCTGTTTCTATTTTTCTCATTTATTACAAACCTCCTCTCCTCATTCCTCTCTCTTCAATCACAAGTAGCCACACTAACTGGAGATTGCACTGTTACCAACCAAAGACACGATGTAACCCTCTGACATCCACAGCTACAAACACAGAATTCGAGACAAGAGAGTGACAGAGAGGGGGAGGAAAGACGGACAAAAAAAATGAGCTGTAGAAAACAAAATACAGACGCCTGTGTGCTAAAAGCTGATGATTTGATTCCTGTCCACTTCATCAGCTGATGTCTACTCAGCCCACACTCCATTAGCTAAAAGTCATTAAGCTTACACTGCAAGATCAATTGTCCATAATAATAAATACTTTAATATCAAAGAGAGAACGCATCTGTCAGTAAATCTAGCTTGTGTCCTGTCAGAAGTGCTTTGATTGAGCAAACAGTCAATTATTCAACCAAACAAACAATCCAGGCTGTTATTCCAGCCCAGGTTATTTTTAAGATCTGCAATGGTGCATGATGTGTTTCATGAAAATAAATAAATGGGAAAACTCTCCTCTTTGGTGCTGAGTGCATTCAGGCGATGTTACTGGGAGATCAAACGGAGAAAACAGTGTTGTCTTGCAGCACGCTTTGGGACTGTGCGGGTCCCGGCCTGTGAAAGGAGGTTAGCTGGTTGGAGTCTGACTACGGGCTGAAAACCTGCTGACTGCACTGCTAAGCTAGCTGCTGACTCCAGACCTCTATTTGTGTGTTCTGTCCCACCTGCTCACTGGAGGAGCTCAAACATAAAGACTCAACAACACATATGAATATATGGACAAATGCAATTCTGATTTGTGTTACTCCTTTTTTAAAATCTCCTGCTCTATTTAAACTATTCATTTCCATGTGGAACATTAGTTGAACACTTTATTTTACGCTCACTTGAGGGAGGCTCTCATACAAATCCCGCTGTCTTATTTGTTTAATGTAGGTATGTGCTTCAAATAGTAAACAGATAATCTGAGTTACAGCTAAACTTCTATATATTCCATGTTAAAAATGTTGAACTATTCCTTTAAAGATAGTCTACAGGGATAAATCTCAGTGCCTTGATGTAATCATTTATGAATCCAAATATAAACACAGTAAGAGGAACTAGTAGGGCTGTGCATGTGGCAGGACTGAGACGATATAGGATTTTATTGCGGATCGCAAATAAAAAACAACACTCAGACATGCTTATACTGGTGAATTTGCATTATTAGGATAATAATCAATATCCTCACAAGTGACTTGAAAAAGCTGTCTAGCTCACTAATGTACAGTCCGATATTGATTTCCTGATTTATTTTTGAATTGCCACAAGGGGAGTCAGTTTCCATTCATTTCAAAATCCTAGGCCTCTCAACGGCTTGCTAAAAAAAAAAAAAAAAGAACTAAAGACAATGAGGTACCTATTTCAGGGTGTCCTATCTGTAATGCAATACAAATATTTGTTTCTTAACAAAATGTAAGGCAAAGTATTTCCAAAATGTTTTAATGACATTTTAAAAAGGACCAGTGTGTAGGATGCAGTGGCATCCAGCAGTGAAGTTGCAGACTGCAACCAACGGAATACAGCTCAGACTTCCAAGGGTGAAGGAGAAACTAAAAATGTGAAAAATGTGAAATGCCCTATATAGAGCCAGTGTTTGGTTTGTCTGTTCTGTGCTATTGTAGAAACATAGCGGTTTAACATGGTAGCTTCTGTGAATGACAACTAGGTCCCTTTTTTGATTAAACCGGCTCACTGTAAGGTAACAAGAAACACAGCTATTCTTATTTTCAATAATGAAAACATTCCTAATTGTCGACAATAATATTGTGATTGCAATCCAGCTCTAATTTTTCTTCTCTTGCATTAATACATGGCTTTGTTGATACCAGACAGCTATCTGCCTAATATAATACAGTTGGTGATTGACTTGGTAGAGTCATAGTTCAGTTTCTATTTCAGTGAAGACAGACGCTATCACTAATTCAATTGTGCTGGTTCCTTCTTGTCTGAGCACTGCTAATTATTTAATATTTAATTATGCAAATTGACGTGGGTGGAATCCACATTAGTCCAAGATTGAAAAATAAATGAATATGAAGCATTGTTTGAGAGTGTGGGAGTGGAGAATGGAAGCGTATGTGAGTGTATGTACACGTGTGCATGTAAGGCGGTGTTCATGTGCACTGAATGTGTGGCAGCTTTTGTGTGTGTGTGTAGGTGTGCAGCAGGCTTTTTTTTTTTTTTTTTTACCTTGGCAGGTGAAGCAGTGAACGTGGAAGTGTGTGTTTTTGACGCGCACCACTTCGCCACGACAAACCTCCCCACATCGCTCACACACGATGGGCGAGTTTCCACCACTGGAGAGAGGAGAGCTGCTGTTGTTGTTTCCTCCATAAAGACCTGACTGGTACTGAACTGCTGGGAGGGAAGAGGAGACATCAAAAACATGTCACTTATTGTCATTTTGAGGCCCTATTTCCTTTCAACTGACTTCAAACATCTGATCAAAGTCTGATAAAAAATGTGGAACGACTGCCTCAAAAAGATAAGGGATCTGATGGATTTTTTTCTTGCGTTACAGGAATATGTGCCACCTAAAAACCACCTTTAATGTATAATAAATCTGAAAATAGTCGCTAAGATTTGTCTTATATATAAACTAGAAGCAAATCAGACCAAAATGTATTGACTAAATATAATTCTCCAGCATTAGTACAGATGTTGATTTGTTCTCCCACTCAGAAAAATTAATTTGGCCTTTAGATTACATTACTTTTCTTTAATGTCACACAAACACACAAATAGATAGACAATAAAAAACACATGGAGGCAAACCCACAAACATAATCACGTGCACACTGGACTGAAGGTTTAGAGGAGATGAAGATGGCTTAGTGATTGGCTTTGTAACTAGTAGTGGCTCCTGGAAAGTCTGTTACTCTACCAGGGAGATCAGCACAACTTACAACCATTCAAGGTAGTGGCTTAAGAGACAGACAGACAGACAGATAGACAGACTGTGAGAGTTTCAAACTGCTAGTGGCCACTACCTACACTCTATTCCAATTCTAACGTCATAGTTTTCTCTATTTACAGCAATCAGCGAGGACAGCACAATAAGATTGCATTGTACATTGAAACTGGTGCGTACGACAATAAAGCTTTGAATTTTGAACCTTGAAATATACATGCAGAACATGACGGAGACACACACTATGAGAGACAGAAAAGGGCACAGTGGGGCTGTTTTGGGATTACACCTCTTTCATCCTTGCTTATGAAACTGGTCAAATCCCTCTTACAGAAACGAGTTGTTTCTTTATGCTGGAACACAGACACACACATGCGCACTCACACACACACACACACACACACACACACACACACACACACACACACACACACACACACACACACACACACACACACACATCATGGTAGGACAGCAAGACAAAAGGGGAGTTGAGTGAATAGATTTCACTGACTGGCAGAATATTTGATCAACACTGATTCTGATTTTCTGTAACGGTCAACTGTACTCTACCCGGTGTGAGACAATCTGAGCAACAATTCTACTGTATTCTAATCAGTTACATTACATTACAGTTAATGCTGATGCATCCCGGAGTATTATGCAACACATTGCTACACACACACACACACACACACACACACACACACACACAACACACAACACACAACACACAACACACATGCTGGCAGGTTAAGCTGATGACAGCAGGAGAGAGACAGAGAGAGTTGTGGATCTATAAATGTTTTCAAGAGAGAAAAAAAAAGGTAAAACTGGGACAAAAATGTTTCCTAACAAATTGTATCATCCGTGTGTGTGAGGGTGTGTAAGAGTGTGTGTGTGTGTGTGTTTGTGTTTGTTTGTCTGCACCACAGAAGCTGGCATTGGTTCTGTAGCCAGATGGTAGCACAAGGACTGGAACCACAGACATAGAAAGATCTGAGCCACCTGTGTGTGTTTGTGCATGTGTGTGTGTGTGTGTGTGTGTGTGTGTGTGTGTGTGTGTGTGTGTGTGTGTGTGTTTGAGAGAGAGAGAGAGAGAGAGATTGAATTTGTTCTTTTTTTTGTTTGTCAATATTAGCAAGTTTGCTTGTTGTATGTTTTAGTTTATGAAACTGATGAAGGTGAAAACATGCAGCTTGTGCACATACCTGTAATGTATGTGCTGTCAATGTGTATGTTGTGTTGTGATGCACACACAGCTTCTAACCTCTATTGTCTTGCAACCCCTCGTCACATTCTTTTTTTAAAACTTTATTTGCCTTTCCTCTCTTTTCTGTATCAGTTATAAATATTCACTCACTCATACACATACATGTGCACCCTGCATAACAACTCTTAACAACAATAACTTGCACATTACATTTTGCACATTGTTTTATCTATTTCTATTTGTTTTATTTATTTTACTTGTTTTTAATTTATTGATTTTTATTGACCCCTCTGATTCATCTTTCGACCCCACGGAAGGGTCCTGACCCCAAGGTTGGGAACCAGTGCTCTAGATTATGACTAGGTCAAACAAAAAGTTATTTTTCTATTTTCTGGTTATATTTTGAATACAGTTTAGTCATGTTATATTCTACACACAAAAAAGCAAAGATTAGAAGAACATCTAAAAAATTTACCTGTTCTGGACCCCGCAGATATATTTTGTGAACCTCAGGTTGGTACTCTTACTGACCTTAGACAAAGCATTTTAGATGCCACAGACTGAACAAAATATCTAATTGAATTCCCCTTAAGTGACTTCAAAATCTGCACTATTTGACAGCTAACACATTTTTATTCTGACCTTTGACCTTGTGGATAAACAGCCAGAATGAAAACCAATAAGGTCTCACACAGCATGAACCAAACCAGTCAGCCAAAAGATAATCCTCTCCCTTTCTGTGGGAGATTTTTTGGGGTTACAGTCGCTCAGCCATGGCCCCCCCTGCTATGCTGACATGGTCATAATTGTATGGGAGTGTCACGGCACCAGAGCCCTTATAAAAGGTTAAACATCTCCCTTAGGTGACAGATATAAAACTGTGGCTGCTAGGAGGGGAAAGTACCTGCTGCTTGCACTAGAAAGCATGGCGCTGTGTCATGTCTGCAGAGCCACTTTGCTTTTGATTTTTATGGGGAAATAGATTCTGGGATTTAGTGGTTTCACATTAATAAAAACCTGCTTCATGTGGTTCTATGTTTAGACATTGGGACATTTTAATATGTGCCTGGCACAGTGTAGACCAAAGATGTGCTCTGTTGTCTTCCAGCTCAAAGAACAGCTTCCTTTCTTCTCTCCAGAATATCTGAGTGGCTGTCACAGGCTTTTCTGACCATCTTACGTGACTGTTATTGATTGCAATACTGAAACATTTTCTGCCACAATCAAAAAGCCGAAGGAGCAGTGTTACAAATTTGTTAATGACAAATCCTGGGTTGTTATGAAAACCACTGAAATCTATATCAATCCAAACACACTGCTTAACACACGCACACTCACAATGATAGAAATACTGATGGAAGCTGTCAGATATCAATACACAATATCAGCCTCGGTTTCTAACCCTCATTGACAGAGAGCTGGCTAATTACATGATGAAATACAGTGTCAATAAGTGAGTCAGTGATCAATAACCTCCATGAGGGGCTGTTTATGTCTACTTTGAGTTAAAACCTCCCAGGACACTATGTTATTGATTAGGCAGAAGCAAACACACACATATAGCACACACATGTGCACATTTAACTCAACACACACAGCACACTAACTAATACATACTGTATGACTGACACACACACACACACACACACACACACAACACACACACAGCTTACCATTTGTCGGTCCACTCATGATGTGCAGTGGAAGTCCAACAGCTTGAATGATAGTCCTCCTCTGAGTCTGTGTCAGTCAGTTCAGTTAAGCCTCCAGCAGCAGGACAAAAGCTCCAAATATGACCAAGCACTCCTGTCAACTCTCTCTATCCCTGCCCGACTTAAAACTCTCTCTCTCTCTCTCTCTCTCTCTCTCTCTCTCTCTCTCTCTCTCTCTGCCACAGTCTGGACAGGGCTTTCCCTGCTTCTCCTGGCAAGCGGATTATACAGCCAGGCAGCAGACTACTGAAGCCCTCCACCCCAATGTAAAGGCAGCCGGTTAAGGAATTAACTCGAAATTGACTGGCACCATCATCCTCATCATCCTCCTCCTCCTCCTCACGCCTTCAGCTTCGGCCTCACCCACCCAACAAACCGGTCCAGCGGTCCTCTGGTTCGGTGCAGAGGAGTCCATCCCTCCCTGAACCAGTCAGTGCGCTCCGGCGGACGCCTGCATGCTGTGCGCTCTGGTGCGAAGGCTGAAATGCTGGATGGTGAGTTTCTGAGGGGGGCTTTCGCTGAGTCGGACCTGTCAGAGCGTCTCTCACCGGGCAGGACGAGCTGCTCTCACGGTGCGAGAGCGCCGAATAGCGTCTGAGCTCCAAACTGCTGGCGGAAAAAACACACCAGCAAAGTCTGGACAGTACAGCATGCATATGGCTCTGGTATGGAGTTGTGTCAAGGGGAGAGGGGGTGCCATACAAATCCATTAGTTCAGTATTGAAGTTTTTTTTATTGCCAGAGCTTAAATGTAATTTCAGGGAGAGACCTGGCTAAACCAAACAGCTCTGAGTAAAATCCACAATACCCCAAAAGACACATAACCTCCTAACACAAAAAAACAAACAGGTCAAAAGAAAAGGTAACAAGAAATAGCAGCTCTCTCCTACAGGACTTTCTGGCATGGGGTCAAATGTATTTAAATTGGAGGCAGTAACTTGATATAATTAATTATCACACATGTACTAGGCTGAAAGCAAGAAGCAAACATACATAGGTGGAGCTCCTCAGGTATTTATATGGCCAGGTGGACTGTGATTGGCTGCAGGTCCAGATTCACCAACCAATAGCACTGGGGCAGAGGAAGACCTAGAGCTGAGGAGCCACACAGCACATATTGAAGGTCCAGTGTGCCATCTAGTGGTGTATTTGCTGATTGCAACACCCTTCCCTCACCCTCCCATTCTGTGTATAGGAGAAACTATGGCAGCAACGAAACTCGTAGAAAACAGTGAAGGTCCTGTCTAGAGCTCATGTTTGGTTTGTTCATTCTGGGTTACTGTACAAACAAAAAAGAGGACCTGCTACCTCTGTAGATAAAACGACTCCTTCAAAGGTTAAAAAAACAACAATAATTCTTATATTCAGGTGATTATACACCAATGAAAACATACATATGAATATTGTATTTCATTTCTGCGAATAGATCCTCCTAAATGTTACACACTGGACCTTTAACACATTGTATCAGCTACACATCCACCTGTGGGGGAATGTAACAGGCTACATATGGGAGCGGGTTAATTGCCAGTGGCGCTCTAATAGGATTTTGATATGAGACATAATTTTGTTTGTAATTTGGTTTTTTGTCGGTCCTGTGTGGTGTCAATGTAATATCTCTGTAATATGGAAAGTGTGTCAATGGCTCTCAATAGCCAGTTAATGGCAGCCAGATTGTGGGCCACTTTAATCCTATATGGTATTTTTATCTCATAGTGTGCCACTTTAATAATCATATAATAATCCTACAGAGAGTTCACAGAGGAAAAAATTAGTTGTTGTGTCTCTTCTGACCCCCCTCCCCTCTTTATGCTCTACCTCAAAGTCTCTAACATGTGCAGTGCCATAAACCAACCAGTACTCCAACGCTGGACCTGTATCCAGATTTCCTGTGCATCAATTAGACTGTGGTCATTTATTTAAGGAATCTGGACCATATGAGCACAATTAGCTACGATACTGATGGTGTTATACTTTAGTGGTGCCATTTCCCTGACAAATTTGCAATTAATCAAATCACGTAAAAGCAGTTGGCATGTGGTGAACCTGGGGGCCCTTGGGGATACAAGGTACTGTGACAACTGCCTGCTTTGTTCAGATGGTAATCCGGTCTTGTCATTATCAATGAAGCCTGTATCTAACTGACAGCATCACTCTGGTCTGTCCCTCTGGTGTTCAGCCTAAGGAGGGATTTGTTAAAATGTACTATTCAACACTGAACATTTTCAGAGTAACATTTGGGTGGACTTCCCTTCTAGATTCACTCTGTAGTTACTCAAAGTGAGTTTACACTGAATGCCGTTTATGTTGGCTAATATGACCATGAGCATGAGCAATATGAGTGATAAAGTGTCGCCTGCCAAACTGTATATCATTCATACTCAAAGAAAGGCTGTTTTTGTAATATGACCTGCTCCAAAAGCCGATTAAAACCTCTGGCAGCAGGGCGCCTTTGCTGCATGTCAAAAGCTCTAATATATATACAAACCCTGGGGGGTCCAGTCTTTGTCAAAATTGTGATGACATAAACAGCTATCATAGGTATATAATGGATATTGAAGACCAACTAATAATATAAGATAACTAATAAACTATTTGGTATGTTGCCTAATCAGTTGAACCATTAATGTTCAGTACAGGCCTGCTGGTAAAATGATTCTCATCATTCACAGTTCTACCTACTGGAAAAAGCCCAGGTGATACAACAACAAATACTCAGTGACATTTATTTTAAGTACAAAACACACTGTAGGCTTCTATACGTTCTAAAAACACACGTTTGCAGATGTTTCTTGGTAAAATAGAAGACTGAATATACCAAAGTCAGCCACAGTGGTCACAGTAAGCACCATTATCTGCAGCTACAAAGAAACACCAAAAGGTGGCAGTACAAGTTAAAACAATATCCATGGAAACAGTGCCAGAGACGCTGCAGGCTGTGGAGGTATTTTATTGTGTCCCATTACTGAAATGTCAAAGTAGTAACCCGATAAGGAAACTCAATTCCTGTCATGGGTATTGTCCAGGCTGCCTGAGATGCACTCTGGGTAATGTAGTAGTGTCACTAACATTAGAAATCAATAAGTCTGTGCCATCACCAGAATATTGGTATATAATATATACCAGTGGAATATTTATATTTAGTATATTCTGATAAAATAAAAACCAAAAAACAAACTGGCATCATATTTATTTTTTGTCTTTTGTTTATCTTTTTGTTTAAAAACTGATTCCTGTTTGAAGAGTTTTAATTGTTCTCTCTTGGATATAACTGCCCTCCAACACAAAAACATGTTTATACAGGTACCTTTCAGTCTGTCCTGGCTCACTTCCCTGTAATTGAAAACAATGTGCAGGATACTTCCTGCAAACCACTGACGTTTCCTAGTGCCTGCCGCTGATGTTTCTGCACAAGAAGGGAAACATTAAAGAACAAAGTTTGCTATAGAATTAACTCATTTTAATTTGAGAAAAAATAGTTTCTGAACAGAATCTGTCAAACTGCAGTTTATTAAACACACGTGTTGTCATCGTTCTCCTCCTTTTCTTGTAAAGATCAGCTTCAGATGTTTTACTCCTTCAGGAAGATCCCAGCAGTATTCCTGTGGCCTTTCTGCCTCTTATATGTGCTTCCTGAATCACAGAGTCAAGCTTCAGGTCTTATTTGTTGCCTTCAATCGGAAGTCGCCTGGGGTCAGAAAAACAATATGTTACATGAGTATCACATCTAGTGTCTGTGGGGACGTTCAGGTGTGATTAATGATCTATTGTCAAGTCAGTCTGCCTATTTAAAAGCATTTGGGACACAATGGAGAGTTCCTTCAAAATAACATTGTCTGGCAACTGCACTGTGTGTGTGTGTGTGTGTGTGTGTGTGTGTGTGTGTGTGTGTGTTTGTGAGTTTGTTTCATGCTATAAGCACTGATAACATTATTTTAATCGGCATTGTAAACTGAGGTTCTGATTTCAGGTCAGAAGCAGGTTGTTTTAATTTAATCACAATTTTATAGACTAATTGAAACTGCATTGTTACTGTGATTAAGTAGTTAAGTTAATTGGGTTTATCATTTAAAAATCCCTGAGTAGTAGTACAGACTTATTTAGTTCTAAAAGAGGAAATACAGCAGATATCTGTGAAAGATGAAGTGACATTGTTGCTGGCAGCCCACATCCAGCTGATGGGGAAGTTGAAATAGCAAACTGAGCACAAAATGGTGTTTGAAGAATGAGGTCAAATGTGGCATTGTGGCACAAACAGTATGACACGATCATGAAGAGGGCGCTGCTGTGCCAGTGCAAACAGGTAAATCGATGCATTTGCACATGCCGTAAAAGAGCTTATGGGGTTTGGACAGAAGAGAAAAAAGATAAAATAAACACACAGAATATGGTGCAGGAGAGGTGAGCAAGTAGCCACATCCTCTTGGACAGGAAGTATCATGTATAAACACAACACCAGCCCATAAATACCGCTGCAGTGACATTAAGTCTACAAAGTTTTATTTTGCTTATTGTAATTGTAAAGTGTTGCAATATAATTAACGGTAAGATAGACAAGTCTGCATTCATTTATTTTACTTTAATGTATTTATTTATCTATTTGCCAGATGAGGGCAGTGGAAGCAAGCTGTAAACACAACACTGATATATTGTCCGATATTATTATAAAATGGCATATTTACAAATCTAACAGTTATGAAGCAACATTAATTTGGAAGTGTCCGGCCACCTAAACAATTTTATTTCTCTCAGTTTTAGTCTCCACCAACTCCTGTGATATCTGGCCCTTTATCTGCTAAATGCTCCATTATGTTCACCAGGTTGTCCCTAACTTTGACTATCTGTAGTTTGGTGCTTTTTGCTAGAAAGTGAGTTTTAGTGCTTTTTTTTTTTTTTTTTACTGAAAACAAGATGGTTCAGATGTGAGGGTGAACCAAAACAGTAAAAAAAAACAAAAACAATGAGTTAATAAACACTGTGTGGGTTTGTCAGTATGAGCATTTTGCTTTGTGGTCATTCATTTGTCATTGATATAAAATGATCCATTAGTGTAGCTTTGATGAATTGATGGTAAAATTCAGTTGCACCTTTAACCTGAAATCTTTATTCATCCCAACTCAGGTTAAAATACATATCAGCAGCCAGCATTTGAGGCTAATACAAAAAAAGACAAACAATTAAGGTCCTAGCCACAGGGTAAATGTGCTGGTCCACTGACATGTGTATCATCCATCCATTTTTTTTTGTCAAAGCCAGACAGCTGATGCTGCAGTTCTGGGCTTTCAAGTTTGAACATCTTGAACTTTTTACTCTACTGTACATTTCCTGTAATACCCAGAGTGCAAACCATTTCTCCAATTTCAAGTGTCTTATTAACAGACTGTTCATATCATATCACATTTCAGAAAAGAACACTTGTATTCACAGTGTGCTAAACAGATATGTTTTATCCTCAGGCTTGTGTAATGGACTCTTGCTTAATCCATATATTATGGGAGGCAGTCAGGATCACAGAACTGCCATTTATATTTAATTT